ACCCATATGGCAGCTTACAACCATCTGTAACTCTGATTCCAGGGGAACCCTCACACAGACACACATTCAAGTCAAACAACCAAAGAACACAGAATAATAAATCTTTTTTTAAGAAAAAGAAAAGGAAAAAGTCATGAAATTGTCTTTAAGACAACATTGTGTGGTTGCAAGAATTCAGATATTGATATGACAGGATCTCAAAGCGGAACGGGCTCAGGAAGCAGTGGCCCAGCAACCATAGTTGGCAGACAAGCGTGGCAGTTAGAAAAGACATGAAGAGGAAAGCAGGACCATCCAAAGAGGAGGACCACAGAGACCAGGTCTCAGGATACAGATGGCCTGCAGGATGTGGCAGAGGACATAGTGATGGGGAGTGAGAAGCACAAAGAAAATGACGTATGCAGTGGGTCATGGAGGCATACAGAGAAGTCAGAGAGACTGACACGCGAGTCAGCCTGGGCCCTGCTGGTGTGCCCATGTTGATTGATACTCAGAGCACAGAGATGGATAAAAACAGTGAGACACACAGGGAGAGGTGGAGAGACAGACAGAGAGGCAGAGAGATAGACAGAGAGGCAGTGGGAGACACACACACAGCAGAAGATGGAAAGAGAGGGCTAAGGAGAGAGAGACAAGGAGTCAGAGATAGGGAGATGAACACAGAAGTACAGAGACAAGGAGATGCAGAGTAACAGAGAGACAGAGAAAGATGGAGACAGAATGATAGATGAAGACTAAGACCCACAGAAACAGACATAGAACGTCAGGAAAACTTTTAGAAATGAAAGGATTTAATTTACAGAAGCAAAATATAAGCCCCGGGGTAATTTGACAGAATAGGATTAGAAATTGATAAGGAAGGTAAAAGACAATGACGATTACTAAAATCCTACCCAGGCGAAACTTAAAGGCTCTTCCTCAATTCATAGCCAGATGAGAAATCCAAGCTGGAATTGTATTGCAAATAGGAAATATCAATAACTAAAAGGTTCCGTGGTGGAACTAATTGATTGTTCATATTTATAGCTTAGATCAGAGAAGAAGTGAATAGCCAATAAGCATATGCATTAATAACTGGAAAATATGTGAATAGCTCATCAAAAGATGACATAAGATGGATGGAATAAGACAAAGAGTGATTGAATTGGCTCAAATCAACATGAAATATGAAATTAATCATTTAGAAATTTAGAAAATTGGAAAGAATCACCACGATAAATCAAAAAGCTATGAATAAATAGATGTATAAATATAGAGAACAAATATTATCTAATTTTTAGAAATACAAAACCACCCATAAACACCGTAAGGAACGTGGAGAGGGACATTTGGTGAATCATGAGGCCACATTCCTGAGCTTCCTGCAGTGGTGAGAATCTAAGCAGAGGGGACTGGTTCCTGACAAACAGGAATCATCAAAACTCCCATAAGAATGGGAGTTCAGTGCTGATCAATTGCTGTTCAAGAAAGAGAGGACACTGTTAAAATGTGAACGAAAAGCAACACCTCCCCCGGAATCAGTGTGTTTCCCTGATTTGATAGAATACTACCAAATCTTCACAAAGTCCGTGTCTCCTGTGTTCCTGCAAGCCACTGTAGCTTGTGAGAAGGCTCTCGATTGTCAGAGCATGAAAAAGGAAACACTATGCATGGTAAGAGTGCAAAGCTCTTAATGAAATAATGAAGAGAACACTACATCATCAGTTCTACTATCACAGACCTACAACCCCAGCTACTCATGGGACTGAGGCCAGAGGACACAAGTTCAAGGCCAGCCTGGGCTACAAGGTGAGTTCAGTGCAAGACCACAGATTTAATAAGACTTTGTTTTAAAAATTCTTAAATTGTATGTTGATTACTATAATACATTATACTATGTTATAGTATTACAATATATAATACATTACATATATTATAGTAATCTCAAAATACAAGCAAGGTTAAATATCATTAAACCTATTGACATAGAGCATTATACAGATATGTTATCATTAGAAATTAAATGATAATTTCCATATATGATGCAGCCATTTTACATATCAGTAACAATTTTAATTTTAAAAATCCCTAATATGGGCATAGATAGATGATTTAGAAGTATAACATGCACAAAACTGGAGCAAGCTATGGCCTGACTAAGTCCCAGCATGGAGCAGGGAAGGTGGGCACACAGTCCCGCCGCTCTGAGGACCTATTGGCATTTGTTAGCCATTGGGAGAGAAAAGATCAGTTTTCTTTAATTATGTGTGCCTGGTAGGCTGACCACATACTACGGCGGACTCGTCTACTCTCGAGATTAGCTAGGTATCTGAAACAGACAAGGAAGGAAAGAAGCAAAGAGGAGGAGGAGCAAAAGGAGGAGGAAGAAGAAGAGGAGAAGGAGAGGGAGGAAAGGGAAAGGAAAAGAAGGGAGAGTGGGAGGAAGAGTTGTTGGGAAGGGATAGTGGCTTGCGTCTATGGCGTACAGGCAGGACGGGGCAATGGTTAGAACACAACCCTTGTCGGCAGTGACCAGACTCCCAGGAGGCCATGCTCAGCTGACACCGACTACCAAATGCATTAACCTCCTCCTGTTGTCTGGTCCTCACTCGGAACAGCAGGCCATCGTCACCCACGATGAGTCTGTGGGGAGGAGGAATGAGCAGAGCCATTCTTACAGAACACCGGGAGACACTCCCAGATAAGTGAGGAAAAGTAGAACTGCCAATATTCTTCTAGTGTAGAAGGTCTCACTGCGTCAAAAGGGGGGAAATCAAATTATAATCTTTATATATCATGGCAAGGTACTTCATATGTCAATATTCATTTTTAATACTGTCTGAGACAGGCAGGCTTTGATTAGCTATATAGCCAAGGATGACCTTAGACTCCTGATCTTCCTGCCTCCCTTGCCCAATGCTGGGATTTCAAGCCCATTTCACAGTTTCTGTGGTGTGGGACATTCAATCCAGGGCTCCATGCATCCGAGGCAATCAACACTCTATCGACTGAGTTTTGAGACCAATCCCACATCTTCTTGGACACGGGACCAGCTGTGTGATCCCTCAGTGCAGCCTGAAATATAAGCTCTATTTGCGTGAGCTAAGCATGTGTGCCCGTGTTCACCATGCACTTCATCTTAGCTGGGTACACTGCCTCTGCCTGACTGTGGCCACCCTGAGTCCCCACAAAGTAAGAGAAGAGAAAGGCAAAACACCGGTGTCTATGTCCGAGCGTAGCGCAATGGAATCCTCGCAGCTTCGGGCTCGTATCCAAGGTCCTCACTCGATACAGGAACTGCAGCTGCTTTCCCTTGAGTCCGCAGAGCAGCGGCCATCACTTGATGAAAAGCAGTCGCAGCGGAAGGAATCCCAGGGGCCTGTGCACACAATGCAGACAGCGAACGTTCTTGGTGGCACCGTTGGCGTTGTTGGATAGTTACACAAATCTGTACAATGAAACTTGGTCACTTTGGCCTCTGTTCCTCTCTTATCCCCCTTCCCTTGTCCAAGTTCAGTCATCCAATTACAAACCTGTCACATTCCCTTCTAATCTTATCCACGGCTCGCTGTTCAGAGGGTTGACCCCTCTGAAGAAAAGCCTGGGGTCCGAGGATTCTTCCCCAAACACAAAGTTAGCTTCCTCTCTGTGCCAGGTGATGGTGCTCACGATGAAGTAACACAGAAAAGGGGGTCAGAGCTCACTCCTCCACACAACTCACAGCCCAGAGCCTCCCCTAGGGTGCCACTAATTGACTTTTGAAGTCAGTAAATCAAACAGGTTAATTTGCATCCTATTTACATTTTAAAAAGTGCGCCTCACTCAGACATCTTCTTTAGAATCGATCTACGCAGGGCTAACGTGTACCCTGCTTCCCTGACTAAAGGACAAGTCAGTCTAAAGCAGGCCATGCTCTTTCCTCAGAGCCTCCCCACGCTGTTCCCTGATGAGCCAGCACAGGGCCCAGCCCTGGAGGGTCCTCTCCACCGCCGAACACAGTCTGGAGAGGTTCTCTGCCATGAGGGTACCCCCGGCCACTGAGGGTGCCGCTGCATGGCCCTGTCACAACCGGCACTTCTAAGAGCCCAGTGAAGACGTGTTTGAGCAGCTCCAGAAGTTTCTGTCGTTCCCTGGATGCAGCGCAGGCTCTGTCTCCTCTGGGAGGTATAGTGTTCAGCATCCCCAACAGCACCTGGCGTCATCTGTGGTCTAGTAGTCTAGGTTCTGTCAGCAGAAGCCTGAAGACCTAGCATGTGTTACCAATTGGCAGGTATCCGAGGTCCCAGGTTGCTCCATGATTCTACTAGAATCAGAGCATCTGCATTCATCTGAAGGACCACTGGGGGAAAGAGGTGGAAATTTCCCCAAACACCCAAATCTACAGCAATGAATGCAGATGGCTTCCCTAGTCAGCTTGCCCTTTGGAATCCCCTTCTGTCCTTTCTAGGGTGGACTCTTAAACTTAACATGAAACCCTGATGTGTGCGGCTGAGAAGCGACGTATGCAAATGGCAGAGGTGAGCCCTCACCCTGGGTAAACCCCAGAAGAAGCTGCTGTGGTTGGTTGAAGCTGCAGGGCGATTGGTAAAGAAAAGTCCCCAGACTATCTTGATACAAAATATACAGCTTTAATAAACAGAAGTAAGACTTACAACAGCTTACACCAGAATCCAACCGATCCGTCCAGATGCAGGAGCCAGGCAAAAAGAGAGCTAGCGGAGCACGCTTGCTAGGTTTATAGGCAGGCTTTTGCCTGAGGGCGGCATGCCCCGAAAACAGAATATGATTGGCTGAACTCCCCTATCAGTTGGTAGACTCTGAGCCTGCTTTCAGGAGAAGGAGGCATCTGTCCAGGCATGATCCTAGAATGCCACCCTTGGCCCCTGGCTTGAAGCCCTTTGTCCCTTCCTTCTGCCCTGTGCTAAGCACACTCCCACAGTCCTCACCCTTTCAGTGCTGGAGGCAAGAAATCTCAGCACTAGCTTTCTACTCTTTTATTCTAGCGGTATTTTTAATAAAAGTTTTGAGGGAAAAGAAAGAATTGGCTGACATTCCCCATCGGTGTGATTAAGATGCCTACCAAAGCAACTGAAAATGAAGCAAGGGCTTGTTTGACCTCACAGTTCCAGGGTACATCCCTCCCAGAAGGGAAGTCATGGTGTCAGAAGCTTGAGGCATCCACAGGCAGGAAGCAGAGAGGCGCTGCTGCTCAACTCACTTTTCCTTTATATTTAGTCCAGGATTCCAGCCCGTGGAATATATCTCAGTTAGGGTTGCTATTGCTGAGAAGAGACACGATGACCACAGCAACTCTGGAGAAGGAAGACATTTCACTGGGTGGCTTACGGTTTCAGAGGGGAAGGAGGAGGATGAGAGAGGGGAGGAAGGAAGAGGAGGAGAATGGGGATAAGAAGAGGGGGAAGGGAAGAAGGAGGGAAGGAAGGAAGGAAGGAAGGAAGGGAGGGAGGGAGGGAGGGAGGGAGGGAAGCGAGAGGAGTCACAGTGTTAGATTGTTACAGTGACACCAACCAACAGTGGTGTTTAGTTTCATTAAACTAATGGTTTGGTCCATTCTCTTCATGGTGGGACATGGTGGCATGCAGGCAGACAGGGTGCTGGAGAAGGAGCAGAGAGTTGATACATCTTGATCCACAGGCAACCAGAAGTGAACTGACTCGCTGAGTGTAGCCTGAGCATAGGAGACCTCAAAGCCACCCCGCCAGTGTCACACTTCCTCCAACAAGGCCACACCTCTTAATAGTGTCACTCCCTTTGAGAACCATGCTCTTTCAAACCACCACAGGATGGTACCACCTACCTTTAGAGTGGGTCTCCCCACCTCAGCGAACTTAGTCTAGATGACTAGGGGTTTGCTTTCCACCAAGCCTAAAGCCCATCAAGTTGACAAGATGAATGACCACACAACTAAACTCAATCACTGAGAAAAGGGCTTTGGGGAAACCCATTGTTTTGCGTATCCCTTCCACGGATCCCCCTGTTCCCTGGTACACAATGACAAGCACATTCTGAGACTCTGTTTGTTACCAAACAAAGTGCCAGGAGTCAAGAAGAAAAACAAGAGATTTCAACTCTGTGCATAGAAGGTCGTCAACCTCTTGACCTACACAGGTTGACATGCATGAAATGACTGGGAGTGACTGAGACAGACATCATCAAGTGAGCAACGACAGCAAATGCTAGAAACTCCAGTATCCTCAGTGTATCTGAGTCAGAATTTCTCTCACACCCAGCCTCTTGCCTTCCTTCCATATGTGTTAACACTGAGGGCCCAACACTCCAAAGACCAAATATGGTAAAAACAACAATAACCAACAAAGATTTTTTTGCTCAGCTCTGGGCATCTAGTCACAATGGCATTGTTAATTCCTTGATTCCCAGCTATGAAGCCCTTCATCCGGGGTCTTTCAGTCGGCCTTCTCGTTGACCTCAAGATCTAGCCACCCACTTTTGTTTCTGCCTCCCACAAAGGGCTCCACACAAGGGCCCTCAGCATGCAGTAGTGTGCAAACTGCCAGTAAAAACCCTTTGTTCAAATGTGAAATCTAATTCTGTGATATTGCGTGCATTACGATACACTGCAATTTTTCCTAATTTCAGTTGCATGTAAATTAATCTACTGCATGGAAACTACTCCTTAAGACAAAGGAGACTGATTTCCAGCCAGACTCGTCACTATCAATTATCCTGCTGCATGGCACTACAGCTTCGTGGCCTGTGGCAGCACTCACCTTTCACAAATGACCTAAGGTGACCCCCTGCCATACAGAAGGTAGCAAAGTCATCCTCCACAATTCTTTCTGGCCATTCCTGTGGGGACTTCCTTGCAAGCATGGCAGTTGTGTGTCTGGCTTGTTTTTATTTTGTAAATTAAGAAAGTGTCAAAATTTAAGTCTTGAGCTCCTCTCCCTATCAGACTTTGCTCCCTCTGGGAATATAGATGTGTCTGTTACCTGTGACCATCCCTTACACCAGTAAGTAACCTACCCGAGTCATGCGTGAAATCAGAAGGGCCTGAGGCACAGAATAGCAGCAGACTCTGCACTGTCTCGGAGAGGCTGGCTAATAGCCAAGGTTCTTCCTGGGAAGTGCTCAGTAGGGAATTCTGGGAGAGAAGCTCAAGGTCACTCATTTCCCACGTTATCTGCGTAGGCCATCAGAAAACAGGCAGAGGGTATCTAGAAGTAACAGCCTGTGTCCACGAGGGCCAAGATGCAGGTCAACCCCCAAAGGCCACATCCTTTCCTAAGGGAAGAGGCCTTCAAAAGAAAGGACAATGCCATGTACTCGAAGCCTAAGTTAGTGGCAGCGTGTCCCTGAACGCAGGCTTGAAGATTCATCCTCTTTCCAAAGGGCCAACGGTTTGTGATGCAGCCTACCATTCACCTTACACACCACAAAGGAGAGCTTTTACCTCCTAACGTGTACCAGCAGCACACAACACCTGTCGTTAATGGTGAATGTTATCTTGGGAGCGGTTTTAGTAAAATCTGCTCACAAGTTCAATTTAAGAGCTAAACTCAATAAAAATAAGAGTTAGGAATCAGGCCACACGTAGAACAAGAACAATAGATAAGACACTCAGCTCAGTGACTTAGGCAAGCCGTATCTAGAGGCTGGAAACCTGCACAGGAAAGAGAGGGTGATTTGGAGGGGGCTTGATTGGCCCAAGCTCTGGACTGACCTTAGTGTAAAGCATTATCCCAAGGGTTGACTACCGTGATTGACAGAAGCCCAGCTGTTGTGATTGGATGAGATCTGGCTACATTCTTCAAAAGTGCACTGGGGGCATACTTCCTGCCAGTTTAGTTTTGATGCTGTTCATTGCATAGAAGCTCAAAGTCAAGCCAAGTGGATGGTGTAGGCAAGTCATCTAAAAGGACTTGCCTAACTTACAATGCTCAAGACTCTGAAAGTAAGACAAAAAGGGAGGGGAAAAAGGAAGGAGAAGGAAGGAGGGAGGGAGAGAGGGAGGGAGGGAGGGAGGGAGGAAGGGAGGGAGGGAGGGAGGGAGGGAGGGAGAGAAGGAAGAAGGGAAGAAGAGGTCTATATCCCTATAGAGTTGTGCCCTCTGAGACAAGGCACCCTGAGTCTTTAAGAAGTGCCTTATGTGGGACTGGAAAGGTGGCTCAGTGGTTAAGAACACTGACTGCTCTTCCAGAGAACTGGGTTCAATTCCCAGCACCCACAAGGCACCTCACAGCTGTCTGTTCCAAGGGATCCAACACCCATGGCAAAACACCAAGGAACACAATATAAAAAATAAGTAAATTTTTAAAAAGAAGTACTTTCCAGCTCTAGGACAAAGGGGCCATGGTTTACTTCCCTTCTAGCCCTGCAAATAGGTTCTTCTGAGAGTTACGTAGTCTGATGCTGGTATCCATTAGGGAACGCCTTTCTCCATAAAGCCACTTCCCTCTTTTGAGTCAGACATGGCGGGTGGGGGTTGTCTGCTAGGTAAGACTGGAACTCTCAGAGCTTTTGCAAGATTTCTTGTTTGAATATTTTTAAGGTTTGAGCTTACAAAGATTCAGTGTGCTCCGAGTAAGCAAATGACACCGATGTAAATTAAACAAACATGAGCAATCCGCCATTCCCTGCACCCTAGGTCCGCACGAGGTAGCCGACCTGAATCTGGCGATTCTGCATCCTCCCGCCCTTCAGTGCACTGTGGTCCTTTAGGGATGGGGCTGGGAAGGGAAGTTTGTTTTCCACAAATGGTTTAATTATAACATCCTCATTCACAGAGCATCCCACAGGCCCTCCTCTTGTGGGAATGCGCTTCCGGCTGACACTCTCAGGGAAATCTGGAAGCGAGGTAGAAGATGGCTTGAGGTAGAACTGGATTATTTTACCAACTCGGCAAGAAATCCACACAGAGCCTGTTGAGCCACCAGGTCACATGATCTACTCCCTTTGAATAACATTTGGAAGAATTTATAAATCGCCTTCATGCCATAAAACAGACCCTACCCAAAAGAAGTACTCCGAACAGGCACCAGAAGCTGGTCCTGTCAAGAGCCGCTCTCCACCTGGGCATCCTCAGGGTATCCATGCAACAGGGATGGAAGATGGAACAACTCAAAAGCATGCCTGCCATTCACAAAAAGGCTGGCATAGGATATCACTTCCGTCTTTATAATCCTAACTGGAGAAGCCCCTGGTTACTGGTAGGCTCCAGTTAATTGTCTAATGAATAAGTGCAGCATTTGCTAAGAAAATGAGAAAACAGAAAGTAATATAAGACCATCACATGCATCTGCCACCAGTCAGACCCTCTGCCTTCCACCTCATTTGTGCCAAGCATGCCTTGTGCGTTATCTAATATAATCCATGTGAAAGCCCACTCCACATTCTTTGGGATTATCGCCTTTGGCTGAGGCTTCCAAACTGCATGAGCAAGACTACAAAACCTTGGCTCTGTGGACTTTGATTGACAGGCAGGTGGCCCCTTACTACCCGGTCACTGTCTCTACACTTCTCTCCTGCAAATTTAAGACTGGTCCTGTGGATCTGAGAGGGACCGGGGAACACAGGAGTGACCAGATGCAGAGAGCACACCCCTGAGGGCCAATCCAGACTGGAGGGTAACTATGTGATCTTTGGCCTAAATCATGGCCAATGGTTTGGGCTTCAGCAGGTTCTCAAATGGCACAGCTGTTGTGATTTTACCTCCCCACCCCCACCCGCCCTCCACCTCCGGTGTATTCTTAAGAGGAAATCCATCTGCTACAGAAACCATCTTGGCCTCTCTCATTGTTTGAGGACTCAGTCCACACCAGTGAAGAAGCTATATCAGGAATCTGAAGCTGGCCACTGCCTATCCACAGAGACGGAAGCCCAGCAGGACAGGAAGTGAGCTCAGCTATGAACCTCAAGACCCACCTCTCAGAGAGCCACTTCCTCCGACTAGGCTCCACTTCCCACAGGCTCCATAACCAGCCCAAACAGTCGCTGCTGGGAATCAAGCTAAACACTGGAACCCATGGGGGACAATTCACAGCTAAAGCATGACGCCCCGCAGTGGAAACTAAGCCCGGAGCTTGTGTCATTCGGGTAGGGGTGACTTTCCCATCCACCTTCCTTAATCGCCCATTTTCCTTTTCTGTCACCTGGATCCAGGGCACTGTTCATGGTGAGAACGGAACATTTTAAGCACAAAGTTCTCCCAAAGACAAACTAGTCCGTGAACTTTTTAATGACTTCTATATTTAGCCCACCTGGTTTTCCTAATCACTTAATGATTCTAAAATTAATATGGATCACGACGGGCTGTTTTATCTTCCTAGGGGAG